TGAAATTTCAAGAGTTCACAACGTTTAGGTCAATTTTTCAAAATTATAGGGGGAAATGACAAATTTATAGCCATTTCAGAAGTTCCAAATACATTAGTTTATCGTAAGTTTAAAAAATTAACTATAGTTACACTTTCACATAGTATGGCCGTAGCTTAATTTATTTCTGAATTAAAACCATATTAGTTCAGATTTCTAAAAATTTAAAATTAAAATTAAATCAAAACTCTTAAGAAGTTAATAGGAAAAACGCGAACATACATTGTTGATGGATATTCCATATTTTTAGGTTATCAATTATTGGTAATTTGGAGAAAAAAATATTATTGCATACCTCATAGGCTAAGAATTAAAAAATTTTTAGTGACCACGTACTAAACTCTAAAAGTATATTTATAAAAATTGGTCAAATAAGGAAAAATTTAATAAGGTAAATTTTAATTGAATTTGAAGTCCTAAATATTAGGATATTCTTAAGTAAAATTTTTAGTTGAATTTGAAGTCTTAAATATTAAAAAAATAATTAATTATTTTGTCTAGTGTGAAATTAACTTTTAAAGGGTAAAAAAAAGCGAACGATATTTCGATAGGGGTTTCGTGCTTTTAATATAATATAGATAAGATAGATAGATATAGATAATATGAAGAAATTACCGTAAGCAAATGTAAGGAAAAGAAACGTAATACTTTTATTTGTCCAAAGTAATATTCTTTTAATGTCCTATATATTAGAATTTTTCTACTTAATTCAAATAAGGAAAGATATAATAACCATAATTTTAGTTGAATTTAAATTCCTAAATATTAGAAAAATAACTAAATTATGATCTAATATAAAGTTTATTTTTAAAGGGTAGAAAAGGCGAACGATATTTCGCTTACGACCTTCTTTAGAGTACGTGTATTATGCATAAAATTTGGAGAAAAAATATACAAAACTTATTAAACTATGTGATGAATTATAAAATAATTAGAAATTTTAAAAAGTACAAGCTCTTAAAAAATATTGACTATTGATCCTATTTAACAAACTTAATAAAGAAAAAAACTATGTCAAGCAAAAGTTGATAATACCTTTATACAACTTCTATATATGAATTGTACAATTGCTTTAATAGCTCAAATAAAGTGGAATAAATGTTGACTTATATGCAACTATGCTATGTTCTCATAGCCTTAAATAAACAAATTCTATTTGCTCAAAGTACTTAATATAAATCTCATGTTATTCTCATTGAACTCAAATTAAAATAACGAAAAAAAAATAGACACTCCATATTGTTAGATATAATTATCATACTAAGATATTTTTTAGATTAGTAATATTTGAATCCAACAAAATTTATTTTTAGAAAGAAATAAAATCATTAAAGTAAATCATTATGATATAAGTTAATATTTGCTTAAGCATTATTTATATTGCTCGCGTACTCAAAATAGTTTAAATTATTTATATTGTTAAAGTATTATTTAGCTGGTAAATTCTGATGTAGGATCTAGTTTTGAGGTACAAACCCATAGTCAGACACCAGAAGACAAATCTTAAACAGAAAATTATAATTTGAGATTCTAATTAATATAAGAAAAAATATGCTTGTAAATTTTTATTTCGGTTATACCCTAAATTTATAAAATGTGTGTTTTTGCATATCACACTTGTAAAAGTTCTCAAAAAAAGTTTAAATGTTTTGATTTGTTAGGAATCTTCCTTAAAATCTATATGCGCGCACAACTACATCCGTAGCTAAATTTTGGTTTTTCAAAAATCTACAAAATAGAATTGTTTATATTATTCATATAAGGAAAGATTTAATAAAAAAAATATTAGTTGTATCAACATCCTAAATTTTAGGAAAAATAATCAAATTACTATTTTATCTATTGTGATCTATTTTTAAAGGATAAAAAAGGAGAACGACATGGGTCTTCGTGCTTTTAATATATATATATATATATATATATATGTTCTCATCATGATTTATGATTAATCATGTAAATTTATATGATTTAGGATAAATATCGAGTACGTAAATTTTGTTGGTATTAACCACCCCCAAGCAGCATCAAGATTTAAGAGGAAATTAAGATGCAAGACCCATGTGAAATATAGACCAATAGAATATGAATCCAAAACATTAAAGCTATGCGTAGAATATTTAATGTCTTTTGAAAATGCTTACACAATCGATAAGGGAGAAATGTAGTTTTCTTTAACACTCTCTCGCACATATGACCTAATTCTAGGGTGTAAACATGGATTTGACTTCTTTTACCTTTTTTTAAGTATTGAGAAAGTAACAGTGAGAGAGGAGGCACAACATGAGTAATGTTACGCGGCTCCTTCCTGAGATTCCTTAGAAGGGCGACATAAGGCTAAGCAACCGATGTCCGTGTAGTTACTATCCACCAACTGAAGTCCCCTTCGTATGCTAGATGAGATTGTCAGTGCCATACGGAAAAACCAATGTCAAGAGCAATTGGGTGTACAGAAAAGAGAATTGAGAATGAAAGAAAGCTTGATTGCATTAATGAAAGCTATTACAGAAAAGCAACACGGTGTCGAGGGGGAGAGACACCAGTACAAACTTTTTTTCGCTTGCTAGAAAGTTTGATTATAGTGCTTAAAAAAAACCAAAGTTATAGGACTTGACTTAACTAATCTAGAGAGACATAATGGAAATACATGAAATAAAACTACTCCATATTTACAATGAAAATGACTTAGGTTCCTACAAAGTGGAAGCCAGTCCGTTGGCAGCAACCTTGTCTTTAGCATCAGAGTCTGCGCATGCGGCACTGTTGGTATCTACCTGCGCCTGGGCGCTTGCGAGGGCTATCGGTGGGGCGATATAGGCACAGGCGCGCTTGTCACTTGGCGCGGCCAAGACCACGGGGCCGATCATGGCGCTAGGCGTTGGGAGGCTTGCCAAGACGCCATGGGGAGCGTCCAAGGGGTCATGGGACATGGCTGGAAAGCCGCTCATGACATTCCCCGTCACCTGATTTGGCGACGTCCTCGGCGCCTTACTTGTAAGATAATCATCGATCAGGCTCTTGTAGGCTTTGAGGTTTGTACCCCTCTCCAAAGTATTCTCTTCCACATCACAACCCTGCCATTTCACCAAGAACTCTTGGTGATCTTTCCTTGAAACATGAACCACTCGATCATCGAGAATAGCTTCTACCCGCCTTAGCCTGATTGCATTAGGGCATCAAATACCGGGTATTGTGAGTTTGCTCCGTGAAGGATCCTCCTTGTCTTCCCGAAAATGTTTTAGAAGACTGATATGGAAAACTGGATGAATCTTCCATCAGGCTGGGGCATCCACCCTGTATGAAACTTTACCAATACGCTTCTCAATGGACAAGATTCAATGTATTTTGCAATAGACGAGGTTCATGGACCCTACAAATAAGTATTGCTTTGGAATTTTCACCATCACTTTGTCGCCTACTAGCTATTCAACAAAGCGACGATTTTGATCAGCATGTTTCTTCATCCGCTTTTAGGCTTTGACCAGATAGCTCTGCACTATCTCCAAATTTCGCTTCCATTTATTTGAGAAGCTAGCAGCTCGAGGAGATTTCGACATGTTTGGGGGCATTCACAGTGTGTGGGAGTAGCGGTTGTTGTTCGGTGACAATTTTAAAAGCGCTTTTGTTTGTACTAGAGTTCTTTTGTGAATTAAAACACAGTTGAGCAACATCCACAAGCTTCACCCAAATCTTCTGCGATCTGGTAACAAAATGGCGGAGATATTCCTCTAGCATGCCATTGAACTGCTCCATCTGGCCATCAGATTGTGGATGAAAACTTGAACTATGGCTTAATTTGGACCCGAGGCACTTAAAGAGCTGAGTCCAAAAGTTGCTAGTGAAGCGATAGTCGCGATCACCAATGATGTCTTTAGGCAGACCCCAATATTTGACAACATGAGAGAAGAAGAGTTGTATCCTCAGGTGATATATATTGTAAGTCAGCTATAAATGTAGCATACTTGGAAAACCGATCTACCACAACTAAGATAGTTGTGAGATCTCCGACTTTGGGCAGCCCGATGATGAAATCCAGTGAAACACTCTACCAAGGTCTCTTTGGAACGGGCAATGGCTCCAAAAGTCCCGCTTGTGTCAAGCGGTCTGACTTGTCTTTCTGGCATACTAAACATGTCTTCACATACTGAGCAATATTATCAGCCATTTGAGACCAATAATAAGCATGGTGCAACAATGCCATAGTGCGTTCTTCACCTAGATGACCGGCCCACAAAGTATCATAGCATTCCATCAGAAGATTCCTTCGTAGATCTCCTCCTTTAGGAACATAAAGTCGGTTCCCTTTCACCTTCAGGAACCCATCTTCCATGTAGAACTGGCGCGTTTTGCCCTGTCCTACCGAATCGACCAAATACTGTGCAACAGGATCCTTTGGGAGAAGATCTTGTATCTGGTCTCTTATAGTGGTGGCAACTTCTCTCCCCATTAGGTTGGCGATTAGGCACACCGATGCTAAGTCAGCCCTTCGACTGAGCGCATCAGCAACTTGGTTGGTCTTCTCGCTTCGGTACTCCTGGTTGAAGTGAAATTCGGCTAGGAGTTCCTGCCACCTGGCCTATCGGCCATTAAACTTTGGCTGGGTCATGAAATGGCTAACAGATGTGTTGTCTATCTTGACCACGAACTGAGTTCTCAGCAGATAGTGCCTCCAAAGGCGTAAGCAATGGACGATAGCCAATAATTCTTTTTTGTGGGCAGCATAGCGCCGTTCTGCATCCTTTAACTTCCGGCTCTCGTACGCTACTGGATGCCCCTTTTGTAGTAAGACTCCGCCCAGAGCATAGTCAGAGGCATCCATCTGTACTTCAAATGGCTTGGCCAAATCAGGAAGAGCCAAGATGGGGCTTCTAGACATAGCCACTTTTAATGCGTTGAAGGCGTCCACTCGCTTGGGACCCCAATCCCAAGGCGTGACTTTCTTTAGGAGTTTAGTCAACGACAATTCAATGAGGGAGTACTTCACAAATTGCCATTAAAAGTTTCTCAGGCCAAGGAACGCCCTCTTCGGCGTGGATATCCTTAGGCGGCGGCCAATTTGTGACAACCTGAGTCATCTGTTGGTCCATCTTTATCCGTCCATCCTCGATGACATGTCCGAAGAAATCAATCTGCTTTTGGGAGAATGTGAACTTAGATAGCTTCACATATAATTTGTGCTCCCGCAGTCGGGCTTGGACCTTCCGCAGGTGCTCCAAGTGTTCCTCTAATGTCTTGCTATATATCACAATATCGTCCAAGTAGACTACTACAAACTCGTCGATGTACTCTCGGAAAATTTGGTTCATCAATGTGCAAAATGTGGCTGGAGCATTAGTCAAGCCGGATGGCATGACTAGGAAGTCGTACAACCCATATCTTGTCACACAGGTCATCTTGTGTTCATCTCTTTCAGCAATTCGGAGTTGCCAGTAACATGCCTTCAGGTCTATTTTGGTGAATACTGTGGCACCACCCAATCTATCGAACAAGTTTTCCATTAGCGGGATAGGGTACTTGTATTTTCACGGTGATTTTGTTTAGGGCCCGATAATCCACACAGAGTCGTAGGGTGCCATCCTGTTTCTTTTGAAATAGCATAGGGGACCCATATGGGGACTTAGAGGGCACAATAATCCCTGTGTCTAGCATCTCCGTCAACTATCTCCGAAGCTCGGCGAGCTCGGGTTGCGACATTCTATAAGGCGCCCGGGCAGGTGGCTTCGAACCCAACACAGACTCAATCTCATAGTCCACAGTGTGCCTAGGCAGGAGTCGCTTTGGCATGTCCTGTGGCATGACGTCTTCAAACTCCCTTAGCATCTCCTTCACAGGTGCAGGAATGGGACCCGAAGAACGTTCAATATTGTCATGACCCGAATTTCCCACCTTCGGGACCGTGATGGCGCCTAACATTGCACTCGCTATGCAAGCCAATGTTACAAAATATTACACCTTTTTCCTTTGTTCATTTATAATTAAAGTTTAATAAAACTAAATCAACGGAAATAAAAGCGAAAGTGCATGATTTATCTAATTACCCTTATACTATTAACGAAAACATAAGTAAATACCACCCAGAAACTGGTGTCACAACTCACGAACAGTCTACGAATACTACAAGTAATGGTTTGAAAGAAAATACATCTGTCTCGGAGAATGTAAAACAGAAATGAAGTAAAAATAGGAGGGGACGCCAGGGCCTGCTGACGCCTGCAGGTCTACCTTGGGTCTCCTGAATGCAGTAACAGCAACCAACCTCTTGATCAGCCACTAGCTCCAAAATCTGCACAGGAAGTGCAGAGTGCAGTATCAGTACAACCGACCCCATGTACTCGTAAGTGCCGAGCCTAACCTCGACGAAGTAATGACGACGCTACGACGGGGCATAACAATATATAACCTGCAACAGTTTATACTAAGACGGAAAGGAAATACAGAATGAATTATAACAGTAACTTGCATTAAATAAACACGGAACCCAGTCTTTCTAACATTATTAAGCTATAACCAATCCTTAAGAGAATCTCAATATCACAATATTGGACCTCAGCGGAAAAAGAATACATAAACAACAAATGATGCGGCACGCATCCCGATCCCACCATATAATCAATAACAGTACAAATATTCACCCTTTTTACTCCTTATTGTGGCGTGCAACCCGATCCCACCAGTCCACCCTTATTACTCCTCGATATATCACCCTTATTCCTCCTGTTGCGGCATGCAACACGATCCTACCTGTCCACCCTTATTACTCCTTGTTGCGGCGTGCAACCCGATCCCACCAGACAATCACATTCACCCTTATTCCTCCTGTTGCATATCAGCACCAATCAAAAAATAAAGACAAGTGTTTCACAAGTTAACTCAAACCCCCCACAACACTTATACCTCAAACCAACACAATGGAAAATCACTACAATTATGAAACTTCACCAGTTAAAACAACACAGCGAGACCCACCAAAGTGTAGCATAAAGCACCAGTAAACCAACAGTATGATATAATGGAACAATTAACAACACCAATAGATAAGCAACATTTAACAAGTAGCAATTAGACATGGAAACATCAATAAGCAAGTAGCAAGTAAAACAGGAGAGCAATATATAGGGAAACGGGGCAAGGGAACATGCTAAACAAGTAATTTGGCGACGCATAGGTGCTCGTCACCATACCTATACGCCACACACATGGTATTTCATAGAGCAAGCAAGTCGGGGATCCCTAATCCCTCAAGTCAAGGTTAGAACAAACACTTACCTCAAGCCAATGGGTAATTCACAGCTCAAACACCGCTTTACCTCTCGATTCCTCCACCAATCCACTCGTATCTAGCCATATTTAACTTAATAACATCAATAAACGCTAAAGGAACCAATTCCAATGCATAATTATAGATTTCCCAATATTTTCCCCAAAAAGTCAAAAATCGACCCTGGGCCCGCTTGGTCAAAACTCTAAATTCGGACCAAAACCCGATTACCCATTCACCCCCGAGCCCGGATATACAATTGTTTTCGGAGTCCGACCTCAAATTGAGGTCCAAATCTCCAAATTTCGAAATTCCTAGGTTCTACCCAAAAACACCCAATCCCACCAAGAAAAACCCTAGATTGTATGATGAAATCTTGTAAAAAGATGAAATAGATTGAAAGAAATAAGTTAAGAATCATTTACCTATGATTTGTGGAAGAAATGGTCTTTGGAAAATCGCCTCTTGAAGTTTAGGTTTTAAAAATGTGAAGAATGGGTGAAAATCCCGTCTAAGTTATGTTTTGAACAGTTGCAGGTATCGCATTTGCGATTCCAGGTTTGCAAATGCGAACTCGCAAATGCGGACATAGCTCCGCAAATGCGAAGAATTGCCTGGTCCTGCTATCATCGCAAGTGCGAACAAATGTTCGCAAATGCGGTTCTGTTCCAGTCGTAATTGCGACAATGAGCTTCGCAAATGCGAAGCTCCCCTTCCCAGCCCTCTGATCGCAAATGCGAAATAACTTCGCTCGCATTTGCAAGCCAGACTTTGCAAATCCAAAGTCTTCAGATTTGCAACATACCAGAAAATTCCTTAAGTTTCAAAACACTCTGTAGCCTATCCAAAACTCACCCGAGCCCTCGGGGCTCCAAACCAAACATGCACACAAGTCTTAAAACATCATACGAACTTGCTCATGCGATCAAATCGCCAAAATAACACCTAGAACTATGAATTCAACACCAAAACGCATGAACTTTTCAAACTTTCTATTTTGTCAACCAAAGGTCCGAATCACGTCAAATCACTTCCGTTTTTCACCAAATTTCCCAGATAGGGTATAAATATCATAACGGACCTGTACCGGGTTCCGGAACCAAAATACGAGCCCGATACCAACAATATCAAACATTATTCAATTTTGTAAAAACCATTATATTTTCAGTTAATAATTTTCTTCAGAAATTCATTTCTTGGGCTTGGGACCTCGGAATTCAATTCCATGCATACGCCCAAGTCCCATATTTTTCTACGAACCCTCGCGGACCGTCAAATCACGGGTCCGGGTCCGTTTACTCAAAATGTTGACCGAAGTCAACTTAAATTAATTTTAAAGGCAAAACTCAATATTTTTCTCAAATTTTCATATTAAGGCTTTCCAGAAACATGGCCGGACTGCGCAAGCAAATCATGGAGAAAGAGAATGAGGTTTTCAAGGCCTCGGAATACAGAATCGGATTCTAAAATAAAAGATGACTCACACTCCACCTCTAAAACAACCGTTCGTCCTCGAACGGACATAGAAAAGTACCCGAGTCGGTGAAAAGATAGGGATATCGGCTCCGCATATCGGAATCAGACGCCAAGGTAGCTGCCTCAACAGGATGATCTCTCTACTGCACATAAACCGAAGGGTAACTCTTCGATCTCAACCGTCGAACCTGCCGGTCTAGAATAGCTACCGTCTCCTCCTCGTATGTCAAATCCTTGTCCAACTGGACAGTGCTGAAGTCTAACACGTGGGATGGATCGCCGTGATACTTCCGAAGCATGGACACATGAAACACTAGATGCACAACTGATAAACCTGGCGGCAACGCAAGTCTGTAAGCTACATCTCCCACTCGAACAAGGATCTCAAAAGGCACGATGAACCTAGGGCTTAGCTTGCCATTCTTCCCAAATCTCGTCACGCCCTTCATGGGCGACACTCGAAGCAACACTCGCTCTCCGACCATGAAATGCCACGACACGAACCTTACGGTCGGCATAACTCTTTTGCCTGGACTGAGCTGAATGAAGTCTATCCTGAATGATCTTAACCTTATCCAAGGCATCCTGCACTAGATCTGTACCCAATAACCGAGCCTCCCCCGGCTCAAACCACCCAAATGGCGATCGACACCGTCTAACATATAATGCCTCATAAGGAGCCATCTAGATGCTCGACTGATAGCTGTTGTTGTAGGCAAACTCCGCTAACGGAAAGAACTGATCCAAAGAACCTCCAAAGTCAATAACACAGGCGCGGAGCATATCCTTCAAAATCTGAATAGTACGCTCGGACTGTCTGTCCGTTTGAGGATGAAATGCTGTGCTCAACTCGACCCGTGTAACCAACTCACGCTGTACTACCCTCCAGAAATGCGAGGTAAACTGCGTACCTCGGTCAAAAATGATAGACATGGGCACACTATGAAGTTGAACGATCTCCCCGATATAGATCTCAGCCAACCGCTCCGAAGAATAGGAAACTGCCACAGGAATGAAATGCGCTGACTTAGTCAGCCTATCCACAATAACCCATACTACAACAAACTTCCTCTGAGTCCGTGGGAGTCCAACAACGAAGTCCATAGTGATACGCTCCCACTTCTACTCAGGAATCTCAATCTTCTGAAGCAAACCACCAGGTCTCTAATGCTCGTACTTTACCTGCTGACAATTCAAACACGGAGCTACATATGCAACAATATCCTTCATCATCCTTCTCCACCAGTAATGCTGCCGCAAGTCCTGATACATCTTGGCGGCGCCCGGATAAATAGAATACCGGGAACTATGGGCCTCCTCTAGAATCAAATCACGAAGTCCATCCACATTAGGCACACAAACTCGACCCTGCATCCTTAGAACTCTGTCATCTCCAACTGTAACCTGCTAGGCACCTCCCTGCCGCACTGTATCCCTAAGGACAAGCAAATGAGGATCATCATATTGCCGATCTCTAATACGCTCAAATAATGAAGACCGAGCGACTGTACAAGCTAGAATACGGCTGGGCTCAGAGACATCCAACCTCACGAACTGATTGGCCAAAGCCTGAACATCCAAAGCTAGCAGTCTCTCACCGACTGGAATATATGCAAGGCTACACATACTAGCTGACTTCCTACTCAAAGCATCGACCACCACATTAGCCTTCCCGGGATGATACAAGATGGTGATATCATAGTCTTTCAATACATCCGACCACCTTCTCTGCCTCAAATTGAGCTCCTTCTACTTGAACAAATA